AAACTGTGGTCTAATTATCTCTACTAATCTTACTTATTTACTATAATCAATGACAAAATAAGAGTAAATAAAATAACCTCATAGTTCTATAGTTTATATTTAACCAGCTGTTAGTTAAAACAAATTATATTGCCCTAAAACAAATCGAAGATTACAAAGATTGCCTTTAAAAATAATATGAACATCCTAGTATTTTACTATGTATAATTAATCTGTCATCCCTTACAGAAGAATTGAACGTATCAATGATTAGCATTACACATAGTATAAATAAGTCAACCCTAAGTATGTCTTTACATTTTTATCCAAATGCTGAATTTGTGACACAAAAGCTGAATGTTTACAGCTGTTATGTTAAACAAATTATTTTATGCCAAAAGCTAGTTTAAAATCTTAGCGTCGGCTGCTAGACTTTTTAAAAATTAAAACACAATTTCTAAAAAACTGGGACCCTAAACTAAAATTATGGCTTCGACATTCCCTAGTTCTCAAAATTATCTTTCTTTCAACACAAAAATCATGAAAATCCGTCGAGTGGTTGATTCAGAATCGTGAAATAAAAAAACACAGTTTCGTTTTAATATTATAGATAGACTATGATGCGCCCTTTTAATTTGGCTTTGCGTAAACTACTATACAAAAGTTATTTACAACAGTGCACTCAATCGGTGGTTCAATTTAACTACCTTTATTTTTTTTTAATACTGGGAACAACTCTAACATGAGAATATATATTATACTCTATACATACCAAGAATACTTACAGAATACAAACATTATTTAACATTGCTTAAACGGAACTGTCTTAACCTGCTATATAGGCAGAGTAACCAACACAAGTAGACTTTTCATCCTATTGTAAATTTTGAAGCTCGTTTTTCGTTTCTAATTCATGTTCGGTGACACTGATCGCTAATGTCGACGAAATTTATTTTCTATTATTTTAGGGTTAATTTCATGATTTGTTCTTTACTGTTTGTTTGTATAAGGGGGCAAATTATTGTTTATTAGTATTTGGTTAATCGAGGTTTTAAATTACTAAAACAAGAAACAAATTTTAAACAAAACACGACCTCTACAGAGCACCGTACAGAACTAACAATAAAATTGGCTTCAGCTGTTCCATAAGGACTGTTCCGACGAAACGGACAAAGATGGCGGCGCTAGCCTAGTCCCGGCGTGTGCAACGCGCTGGTCGTCTGCTATGCTACGAGTCAGTGTTGTTTACATAGGCTTTGTTTAAATGTAAAAATACTTTTGTATAAAAATTACTTAGCTTTTACTGGAAGTACATTGTCGTATTAGTATATTGTTGGAAATGTCTTAAAGTAAATCAATTGTTTTTACCGTAGTAAATCGATTTTTTTATCGTGGGAGAAATTTTTGTTTACAAATATATATCTGTTTAAAAAACATCTTTGTTCACATTATAAATCTGTCATATTGGTGTTATTTTATTTCTTGTGTCACGACAAACACGATGGCATTTTGAACAACATTTTTAGCGTCTTATTAACGATGTTAGCATATGTTTTAAAAATAAACATCAAAATAAAGACTATTGTGAGTAAAAATTTTAAAATGCATGGAACTGTTAACAATAAACCTACCAATAAGCCATAACAATCTCAGAAAGATTGGCTGAGTAGTTTGTTTACAATTAAATTTTAAACTTCAGTGTTAGTGCAGAGTTTCTTAAAAATCGGTACTTTTTAGGATCTTTCAACTATAGAAATCTTTCTGGTAAACGGATTTTTTTTAAATTGTTACCACGTAAAATGTATTTAAACCAGATTATATTTAATTTTTGTCTCAACAAAATCTGATAATTCATTTGAAGAGATATTTAGGCTCAAACTCGAGTGCACATATTTATTTATTTCCCCGACAGTAGTCCCGGCGTGTGCAGCGCGCTAGTCGTCTGCTATGCTTGATGAGAATAGTGTAGATAATGATATTAGTGTAAACGAAAACAATGTAATTGAGGACTTGACGAACAATGAACAAAGTACCTGGACAATGTGTAGGTGTAAATTTGTTTCCAAATAGTACACATTTCTCAGGATATGAAACAATATGGACAAAAACCATTTTTGTTTAGAACCTAATTAAAATTATTGCTCAAAAATATTCCAATGTTAGAGTTCGCTACTACTGTAAAATAAGTAACGAAAGTCTTCACAAAAATAAAATCAGGCAACATCTCAATAAAACTGTAATTTTTCTGGGACAATAAATTGAGTGTAATTTTACAAATATATTTGGGAAGTTTAATTTAACTTACAGAATTATCTTTAGTTTATCTTGGATGATATTGAAAGCTAATTAGTCCTTAAAAAGTTGTGCTAAACGGTTGAAAATTCTACATAGACAATATATTTGAAAATTTCTTTAATATATACAATATTACAGTACAACAGAATAAAACATTAAAACACTGCACGCTAAATGTATAGACGACTGCCCGGCGGCGCGGCGGGCGTGGCGCGGAGCAGCGGCAATGGATCCCTTTTGTACCTGATTTTTTAGAAAACCGAACATGATAAAAATTTTTGGTGAATCGTATAGTTAAATTTGGTTATTTATCCACAACTTTCCCGCTGACGAAATTTCTCTGACCAAAAAATAAAAAAATTCCTCGCAATACAACTTTTTCATGTCTGAATTTGAAAAATTAAACTACATAAGTATTAAACATATTTATAACTCAATTACTATCCTAGCTAATAATTTTATATTAACACCATCGTTTTCCTCAGTATCATATCTACAAGTGTGCAAAATCTCAGAATTTTTTGTCAACTATTAATGTTGTTTATGATCGTGTATTTGTCGCGGGGTTTTTAATGCGAACTGAGCTCGCGGGTCTTGGATTCAGGCTGTATGACGGACCAAGATGGCGGATTTGGCCACACTTTCAGTGCATTTGGTTAAACGCCGTGTCCTCTCTATTATTATTATTATTATTATTATGTGCTCGCTGCTTCAGATCAACAACCCTGACTTGTCCATCTGTGCCAGGATGCAACTGTGTGACACGGGCAAGGGGCCAGGACAAAGGAGGCGATGAAGAGTGGATCAAGACTAGATCTCCAACTTTTATGTTTTCTGTCTTATGAGTCCACTTGGATCGTTGCTGGAGTGTATGAAGGTACTCTAGTTGCCAGCGCTTCCAAATCCTTTGGTGGAGAGCTTGTACTAGATGCCATCTTTTGAGCCGAGTTAGTGGAATATCAGCATGGTCTTCTTCTGGAATTGATGCCAGCGGAGATCCTATGAGGAAATGTCCTGGAGTGAGTGCTGAACAGTCATTAGGGTCGTTAGATAATGGTGTCAAAGGACGGGAATTGAGGATTGCCTCTATTTGTGTAGTCAGAGTCATGAATTCTAGGAGAGTAAGAATGTGTTCACCCATGACACGGCGCAGATGGTATTTGACACTTTTCACTGCTGCTTCCCACAGACCACCTTGATGGGGCGAAGCAGGAGGATTGAAGTGGAAATTTATTTTCCTGGATGAAGTGAAATGCAACAGGTGTTCTTCAGATTCTTTGGTGCTCAGGGTGTTTTTGATTGTTCGACGCAGTGCAGAATCAGCGCCTACGAAGTTCGTGCCACAGTCGGAATAGATATCTTTACAGAATCCTCTTCGGGAGATGAATCGTGTGAGTGCAGCGATGAATCCCTCAGTTGTTAAATCTTCTACAACTTCTAAGTGCACTGCCTTTGTCACAAAACAAACAAAAACACAGATGTAGGTTTTGATATGACGCATTCCGCGAAGATTGACAACTTTCATGTCAAAGGGGCCACAATAGTCAACGCCACTGGTAGTGAATGGTCGAGCTGGATTTAATATTTAATAAGAAATATCTAATAATGTTTGTAAATAAAAGAAACTAATAGGTTATATACTATACTGTGATCATGGCATTAATGTCCGAAACATGTAAGTAATATAAAATAAAATGTTTTTAGGGTACTGTGGTATTTTGATTTGCTTAGTAATATATATTTATATATATATTTATATATGTGTCCGTTAGCGCGATAACTCGAGCAAAACTCATCCGGTTTTGATGAAATTTGGTACAAACATGTAAACCCACGTTTATTCGAACGAGTTCGCGAACCAGCATTATCGGACTATGGGAACAGGTGTTTATGGGGGGTTTTATGGGGTAAAAATTGGTTTTTCCCATTTTTAACCCTAAAAACTTAAAATTTAACATTTTATTTCCAAACCATTTTGTAGAGCTTAAAAAAAAAATAATTTAGTATATTGAAGCGTTATTATGCGCCTAATGGTTACGGAGAAAATTCCAAAAAACTGTAAATTTAAAATTCCCATGTTATTCTTATGGAGAATTAGTAAACTGTTGTAGTTTGCTTGTTTATGAACATATTTTGATCAAATTTGGAAAATGCATTCATTTCATTCTAAACTATTAACATTTTACAAAAAAAAAAAAAAAACACATTTTACCCTCCCTGTTGCAGCAAACTTAAGTACTCGTTAAATTAATGTTATTTAAATAGGGAATAAATGTGGTATTTTTAAGGAGACATTTTTGTGTAAATCCAATCAAGCAAATGGAAATTCGCTTAGTCTGCAGGTTTGCTGCGGCGGGGGTATTTATGTTTATGATCCATACCGGTTCTGTTCAAGTATACGTGATACATACTCAAAATTTGCACTTACATCATACATCTGAGTAGAAAATGGACATTAAACTAAAACAATCAAAATAAATACATCTCAGCGTTAGTGTCAATGTATACAAGCGAACAAGAAGACACATTTTTAATACCAATGTAAACTATATTGTATAAAATATTAATTGCAGAAGGTAAACAATGACAAGTCGACTAAAAGGCATGTAAACCTCTCAAATTGAAGCATTTAAAATATAAACAGTAAATAAAATAAAAAAAACTCGTATCAAAAAATTACAATAAAGACAACTTACAGCCAATTGACAAAATAAAACCATATTTACCTGAAGGGGTTGGCTTGGCTGTCGTCGTGGTTGCGGCATGGACTCCGCGACACGGACATGGTTGATACATCCGCGACCACGGTCACTCACCACCACGCAGCGCAACCGCAACCATCACTGGTTATATTTAGAGGATGAGAAATACCTCATGTCTCGTAGGAGCCTGAAACAACAACAGTCCAGTGAGATACAGGTCCACCTGCTGTCACAACACAACTGCACAGTGAGACTGAAACAACAACAGTCCAGTGAGATACAGGTCCACCTGCTGTCACAACATTACTGCACAGTGAGACTGAAACAGCAACAGTCCAGTGAGATACAGGCCCACCTGCTGTCACAACATTACTGCACAGTGAGGCTGAAACAGCAACAGTCCAGTGAGATACAGGTCCACCTGCTGTCACAACATTACTGCACAGTGAGGCTGAAACAACAACAGTCCAGTGAGATACAGGTCCACCTGCTGTCCCAACATTACTGCACAGTGAGACTGAAACAGTAACAGTCCAGTGAGATACAGGTCCACCTGCTGTCACAACATTACTGCACAGTGAGACTGAAACACTTACAGTCCAGTGAGATACAGGTCCACCTGCTGTCACAACATTACTGCACAGTGAGACTGAAACAGTAACAGTCCAGTGAGATACAGGTCCACCTGCTGTCACATTACTGCACAGTGAGACTGAAACAGTAACAGTCCAGTGAGATACAGGTCCACCTGCTGTCACAACATTACTGCACAGTGAGACTGAAACATTAACAGTCCAGTGAGATACAGGTCCACCTGCTGTCACAACAGTACTGCATAGTGAGACTGAAACAGTAACAGTCCAGTGAGATACAGGTCCACCTGCTGTCACAACATTACTGCACAGTGAGACTGAAAAAGTAACAGTCCAGTGAGATACAGGTCCACCTGCTGTCACAACATTACTGCACAGTGAGACAGAAACAGCAACAGTCCAGTGAGATACAGGTCCACCTGCTGTCACAACATTACTGCACAGTGAGACTGAAACAGCAACAGTCCAGTGAGATACAGGTCCACCTGCTGTCACAACATTACTGCACAGTGAGACAGAAACAGCAACAGTCCAGTGAGATACAGGCCCACCTGCTGTCACAACATTACTGCACAGTGAGGCTGAAACAGCAACAGTCCAGTGAGATACAGGTCCACCTGCTGTCACAACATTACTGCACAGTGAGGCTGAAACAACAACAGTCCAGTGAGATACAGGTCCACCTGCTGTCCCAACATTACTGCACAGTGAGACTGAAACAGCAACAGTCCAGTGAGATACAGGTCCACCTGCTGTCACAACATTACTGCACAGTGAGACTGAAACAACAACAGTCCAGTGAGATACAGGTCCACCTGCTGTCCCAACATTACTGCACAGTGAGACTGAAACAGCAACAGTCCAGTGAGATACAGGTCCACCTGCTGTCACAACATTACTGCACAGTGAGACTGAAACAGCAACAGTCCAGTGAGATACAGGTCCACCTGCTGTCACAACATTACTGCACAGTGAGACTGAAAAAGCAACAGTCCAGTGAGATACAGGTCCACCTGCTGTCACAACATTACTGCAAAGTGAGACTGAAACAACAACAGTCCAGTGAGATACAGGTCCACCTGCTGTCACAACATTACTGCACAGTGAGACTGAAACAGCAACAGTCCAGTGAGATACAGGTCCACCTGCTTTCACAACATTACTGCACAGTGAGACTGAAACAGCAACAGTCCAGTGAGATACAGGTCCACCTGCTGTCACAACATTACTGCACAGTGAGACTGAAACAACAACAGTCCAGTGAGATACAGGTCCACCTGCTGTCACAACATTACTGCACAGTGAGACTGAAACAACAACAGTCCAGTGAGATACAGGTCCACCTGCTGTCACAACATTACTGCACAGCGAGCCTGAAACAGCAACAGTCCAGTGAGATACAGGTCCACCTGCTGTCACAACAGTACTGCATAGTGAGACTGAAACAGCAAAAGTACAGAGAGATACAGGTCCACCTGCTGTCACAACATTACTGCACAGTGAGACTGAAACAGCAACAGTCCAGTGAGATACAGGTCGCCTGCTGTCACAACATTACTGCACAGTGAGACTGAAACAGCAACAGTCCAGTGAGATACAGGTCCACCTGCTGTCACAACATTACTGCACAGTGAGACTGAAACAGTAACAGTCCAGTGAGATACAGGTCCACCTGCTGTCACAACATTACTGCACAGTGAGACAGAAACACTTACAGTCCAGTGAGATACAGGTCCACCTGCTGTCACAACATTACTGCACAGTGAGACTGAAAAAGCAACAGTCCAGTGAGATACAGGTCCACCTGCTGTCACAACATTACTGCAAAGTGAGACTGAAACAACAACAGTCCAGTGAGATACAGGTCCACCTGCTGTCACAACATTACTGCACAGTGAGACTGAAACAGCAACAGTCCAGTGAGATACAGGTCCACCTGCTTTCACAACATTACTGCACAGTGAGACTGAAACAGCAACAGTCCAGTGAGATACAGGTCCACCTGCTGTCACAACATTACTGCACAGTGAGACTGAAACAACAACAGTCCAGTGAGATACAGGTCCACCTGCTGTCACAACATTACTGCACAGTGAGAGTGAAACAACAACAGTCCAGTGAGATACAGGTCCACCTGCTGTCACAACATTACTGCACAGCGAGCCTGAAACAGCAACAGTCCAGTGAGATACAGGTCCACCTGCTGTCACAACAGTACTGCATAGTGAGACTGAAACAGCAAAAGTACAGAGAGATACAGGTCCACCTGCTGTCACAACATTACTGCACAGTGAGACTGAAACAGCAACAGTCCAGTGAGATACAGGTCGCCTGCTGTCACAACATTACTGCACAGTGAGACTGAAACAGCAACAGTCCAGTGAGATACAGGTCCACCTGCTGTCACAACATTACTGCACAGTGAGACTGAAACAGCAACAGTCCAGTGAGATACAGGTCCACCTGCTGTCACAACAGTACTGCATAGTGAGACTGAAACAGCAACAGTACAGTGAGATACAGGTCCACCTGCTGTCACAAAATTACTGCACAGTGAGACTGAAACAGTAACAGTCCAGTGAGATACAGGTCCACCCGCTGTCACAACATTACTGCACAGTGAGACTGAAACAGTAACAGTCCAGTGAGATACAGGTCCACCTGCTGTCACATTACTGCACAGTGAGACTGAAACAGTAACAGTCCAGTGAGATACAGGTCCACCTGCTGTCACAACATTACTGCACAGTGAGACTGAAACAGTAACAGTCCAGTGATATACAGGTCCACCTGCTGTCACAACAGTACTGCATAGTGAGACTGAAACAGTAACAGTCCAGTGAGATACAGGTCCACCTGCTGTCACAACATTACTGCACAGTGAGACTGAAACACTTACAGTCCAGTGAGATACAGGTCCACCTGCTGTCACAACATTACTGCACAGTGAGACTGAAACAGTAACAGTCCAGTGAGATACAGGTCCACCTGCTGTCACATTACTGCACAGTGAGACTGAAACAGTAACAGTCCAGTGAGATACAGGTCCACCTGCTGTCACAACATTACTGCACAGTGAGACTGAAACATTAACAGTCCAGTGAGATACAGGTCCACCTGCTGTCACAACAGTACTGCATAGTGAGACTGAAACAGTAACAGTCCAGTGAGATACAGGTCCACCTGCTGTCACAACATTACTGCACAGTGAGACTGAAAAAGTAACAGTCCAGTGAGATACAGGTCCACCTGCTGTCACAACATTACTGCACAGTGAGACAGAAACAGCAACAGTCCAGTGAGATACAGGTCCACCTGCTGTCACAACATTACTGCACAGTGAGACTGAAACAGCAACAGTCCAGTGAGATACAGGTCCACCTGCTGTCACAACATTACTGCACAGTGAGACAGAAACAGCAACAGTCCAGTGAGATACAGGTCCACCTGCTGTCACAACATTACTGCACAGTGAGACTGAAACAGCAACAGTCCAATGAGATACAGGTCCACCTGCTGTCACAACATTACTGCACAGTTAGACTGAAACAACAGTCCAGTGAGATACAGGTCTACCTGCTGTCACAACATAACTGCACAGTGAGACTGAAACAGCAACAGTCCAGAGAGATACAGGTCCACCTGCTTTCACAACATTACTGCACAGTGAGACTGAAACAGCAACAGTCCAGTGAGATACAGGTCCACCTACTGTCACAACATTACTGCACAGTGAGACTGAAACAGCAACAGTCCAGTGAGATACAGGTCCACCTGCTGTCACAACATTACTGCACAGTGAGACAGAAACAGCAACAGTCCAGTGAGATACAGGTCCACCTGCTGTCACAACATTACTGCACAGTGAGACTGAAACAGCAACAGTCCAGTGAGATACAGGTCCACCTGCTGTCACAACATTACTGCACAGTGAGACAGAAACAGCAACAGTCCAGTGAGATACAGGTCCACCCAAGATGCATGGAGTAAAAGAGGTGGGCCAGACAGAGCGGACTGCGCGCGATGACGTCACTTCAGTCCCGGCCGCGGCTGCCTCGCCGCTAAATACATGCTAAACGCACAAACCTACTCTTTCAGACACGATTTAAGCTGGTTTGTAGGAGGTATTTCCCGTTATGACATAAATATCTTTGTGTACTAAATAATGATTTTTATGATTTTTAACTAACATGATTTGTGAACAGTTTGACAATAGTAAATAACCAATTTAGGCATGTATGTTGCATTGAAAGCGATGAAATGCGGGCGTCTACCGATTCAGTTGGAATAATAATTACACTTTAGAATAATTTTGGATTAAGATATAACACTGTCCTTTTTCAGGTTAGTTAATAAAATATATGTTTTAGCACTTGCTAAAAAAGTTGCCTGTTTAAAAGTTACTTCAACTGCTTTTTAGTGTTAGTTATAAATGAAACGCCATCCTTTTTCATTTTTAATTTCTTCATTTTCTATTTAATGTTAAACTTATTTGGGTTTGTTGATACAAAAAAAAAAAAACAACAACCAATTATATAATATTTTACATGAGAATCATAAATGTTGCTTATAAATCAAAATCAACTACGATACT